CCAATCGCCCCTATCGATTGGAAAATCGTGTGTAAAAAGGATATACAAAATTGGTCCGAGTATGCTACCTTGCGGTACGCCTGCTCTAATACTCCTCACCGTGGAGCATACGTTTTTCATTCTAATTTGAAAATTTCTCTCTGCCAAATAACTGTTAATAAATTTTATTAATCCTTTCGGGAATTCTAGTTCAATCAGTTTGTAAATAATGCCTTTGTGCCAAACTCTATCAAACGCTTTACTAATATCAAGCATCAACACAGCTGAGGTCTGTTTTAGATGTAATCCTCTGCCAACATAATCAACTATGCGTAACAACTGTTTAGTAGTATCGAGTTTCGCCCTGAACCCGTACTGCTCGTCCGGTACGCAACTTAAGTATGGTTTGCCGTGATGGCACAGGGGACAGAGCTTTCGACCACTAATGATTTGAACGGGGTCCGAATCCCATCGATACAAATTCCGCACCCAGCTCGCATCGACCCTAGAGCTGGCATTCGTTAATAAATTATTGTATTACAAATTAAAATGCTTAAAATCTTGAGGAGGATATTAGCACAAAACCTATAAACTAGACAAGAACCTATATGAAAGCCATGATGGTACAGGGGACAGAACTTTCGACCACTAATGATTTGAACGGGGTCCGAATCCCATCGATACGAATTCCGCACCCAGCTCGCATCGACCCTAGAGCTGGTATTCGTTAATAAGTTATTGTATTACAAATTAAAATGCTTAAAATATCTTGAGGAGGATATTAACACAAAACCTATAAACTAGACAAGAACCTATATGAGAGCCGTGATGGTACAGGGGACAGAACTTTCGACCACCAATGAGGTGAACGGGGTCCGAATCCCATCGATACGAATTCCGCACCCGGCTAGCATCGACCCTAGATAATAAATTATTGTATTATAAATTAAAATGCTTAAAATATTTTGAGGAGGATATTAACACAAAACCTATAAATTAGACAAGAACCTATATCAGAGCCGTGAGGGAGCAGGAGACAGAACTTTCGACCACCAATGTTGTGAACGGGATCCGAATCTCGTCGATGGCTGGTCGATACGAATTTTCTCACCTGGCTCGCATTGACCCTAGAGCTGGCATTCGTTAATTAAAAATTGTATTACAAATTAAAATGCTTAAAAAAAATCTCGAGGAGGATATTAACACAAAACCTATAAACTAGACAAGAACATACACTGAGTGGCCAGATTATTATGACCACCCCTTCAGTACGCTGTTGGGCCACCTTTTGCGCGTATTACAGCCTTAATTCTTCTGGGCATGGATTCTATGAGATGTTGGTAGGTGGTAGAAGGTATGCTAGACCATGCCAGCTGAACTGCACTTGCCAACTCCTGAAAATATAATGGTTCTGGATCCATTTTTCTGAGCGCCCGTTCAATTTCATCCCACAAATTCTCAATTGGATTGAGATCTGGGGATTGTGCTGGCCAACGAAGCAAGTTAAATTCTCCGTCATGCTCTTCGAACCAAGTCGAGTGCGCAAAATAAATAAATAAATTTGTTAGCATGCCAACCAAGGAAGATTTTACTTTTGGCTGAGAAAGTGTAATACTTCCTCCTAATGATAGTGCACAGTAGGAAATCCTAATTTCAATTTAATGTGATAAAATTTTACAGTCAGAATTTTTATCTTTCAAATTTTGCTCTTTTTTTTTCTTTTTTTTGCCACGGCATTTGAATAGTTATAGACGAGGACTGTTCAGAACTTTTCTTTGTGTCTCAAGTTCGCCGAGTTTATTCAAACTCTCTTTAGCACGTTCTAAAAACTACAAATTATAAATTAGTCTACAAACGTTAAATTTTGTTCAGAAAATGTTTAGCGCTGGTAGCTCAATAAAAATTTGCTTTAATTTTCCCACCAATACAAAAAAAGCTCTAACTAAAATGTACATGAAAATTATTACTCAGGAATCACAAGTCAGAATTCTATTTCCAAACCTTAGCCCATTGAAATAATTCTCATCCCAACAAAAAGTAGAGGAAATTTTAATGTCTTATGTTAACACTGCTTATAACCCCCCATTTTCAGACAAAAATAAACAAATCAAAAAGCCCCTGTTATTCTTTTTGAATAGCCCAAAAATTTCTAAAGCACATAATTAAAATTCTTACCAGAACTATGATGCAAAACAAAACACTTTTCCATAAATCTTCCTCTTCATAAATACATGTCCTGCAAAATGCAAACAAAGGAGTAAGTTATAAGCATTTTAAAAGGAACAATTGAAAATAATACTGTTTAATCTACAACACTGTTTATGTATATGTGAATAATGTATTTCAGTTTTATTACTTTTAATGAAAAAAAAAACTGAAAAATTTTGATTAAATAAATTCATTCTTCCCATTTTCATTCCTCTGTCTATCAAAGTTAGCCCGCTAAGCAAAATTATAACTATTGCATTTAAAAAATGTAATTCTCCTTGATAATTTTTTAGTTGCTTCTGTACTATTTTTGTCCTAACTACTTAGATCTGATAAAAGAAGGTGTCAAACATGTAACGTATATTTTAAATATATCTTTATTTAATCGTATTCGTATCCAAACTAGACATCGAAACATAATAATTCAATTTTTCAGGACTTAATTTATATCATTTTAGTAACAATTCCGTCACATGAGAATAATTTTCCGCTAATTCTTCTGATTCTCGCATGATTATTTCAACCATATCTCTTGGTAAAACACTAGTCAAGCAAGCCACCCATAAATTTAGCTCCATTTTAACTCGTTTCATTACTCTTTCGAAATGCACTAAGAACAAAATTATGTCGTCATTTTTCGAATCAAAGTACCATAACTGAGATTACCAGTCTATTTTTGGTTTTGGCAAATTAATAGGTAAATAAGTGCCAATGTTCCCTAGTTCTAATTTTCTCATTCCTAATTCATGCTTTCGCATAGCTTCTTTCCCAGCAGCGGCGGTTTCTGCTTCTCTATCAGCATTTAAATTGAATATCATTTCTTGTACCAAATCCTCATCATAATTTTTACTACTTAAAATCAAGTTTTTTAGAACTACAACCTTAAAAGCATCATGTACTTCTTCGCCAAGCTCCATTGCAATAATCTATAACTCTGACTTACGTACTTTAGATAAATAAGACATCTTAAATTAAGAAAAAGAAATAACAAATTACCGTTTTTTTAATCCCACTTCTGAATTTTAAGAGATATTTAACGTATATTTTAAATATATCTTTATTTAACAGTATTCGAATCTAAACTAGACATAGAAACATAATAATTCAAAACAATATTCACGCACGTTGCAACAAGTCATATTAAACTCTGATACTTATGCTCGCCCTGAAAACCAATTAGCTACTTACAAACATTTCAAGAAGGAATTATTTAAACAAAATTAAAAACTTTAAATTTAATACATTTTACCTTATTTGCTGAGTTTATGACTTATTATCACATAGAAAAAATATATTATGGCCTCCTAATTATTATCTAAAGTAGCTAAATATTTCTTGAACCACGTTATTTCGAAAAGAATTAAAAATTTTAATTTTTATTTACATTAAAGTTATAACTAAAATTTGTTTATTTTCTTAATATGGCCTAAAAGGAATTTAAAAAACTAGAACGTCCTAGATACTTCAATTTTTCTTAAATATTTTGGAATACGGTCTTTTTTTTTTCTTTTTCGAAAACCGATTAATATCAATTTCTGAATACTAACATATCTTTTTTTGAAGAACAACCTCTTGCACTCTTTATGTTAAAAATTTATAAACTTTTGGTTAGGAAAAATTAATTATCCACGAAATTAATTAGTAACGTTTATGTGTGATAACTAGTTAATAACACTTTACTGTATGAAAAACTTTATATCAAAACTAGTAAACAATTTGAAAAAAACTTAAATTCTTTTTTTTTTAAAGGGAGTTGAACTTTTATATTTTGATAAGTGCCTGGCAAGAAACCTAATATCTGAATTACTAAGATCTTAGATTTTAAGTATTTTTTTTCTCATGTTAGCTCTTACACATTACACACTTTTTACTCTTACAAAGTATAGTTTTATACTTAACTATTACTCACAGCTCCAGTTATTCATATCGTGTTTTAATATGCTCCTAGTAAAGAAAAATAAAACGAAATTGCACAATTGGTATAAATAAAAGCAATATGTCAGACAAAATTTTAATACCTTGATGGCTCAGGGTATAGAGTGCTTGCCTTCCAATGAGGTGAAACGGGTTTCCTGCGATGACTGGTCGATTCAAATTCTTCACCCGGCTTGCATCGACCCTAGTGATGGCGAAAAATATCCTCAGTGGCAGACGGATCATGGGTTAGAGTCCCCTTGCCGTCAGATTAACCGTTTTCCTCTCAGTTTAATGCAAATGCGTGCTAGTTCTATTAAAAAAAAAAGAGTCATCCATAAAGGTAAATTTTTACAAATACTTGATCACGTGTCTTCTGGTTGGGGTTCAAAATTACAAGGCTACGAAGTTGAAAATTTGAAGTCGTAAATCCAAAATTGGGTCGGGTGCTCAACGACGGTTACAAAATAAAATTGTCAAGGAAAATCACGTGGTCGCAGCGGAAAAAAAAATTCCCTTCCCTACCTATACCATTCTCGACAAGTGCCAAAATAAGTTTGAGATAACTTTTGACCAATAAAACACCTTTAAACATTGAATCCGTAGCCAATGTCAGCTCCAATATCCGGTCAAGCATTGGGACAAACTAACCTACGTGAAAAACATTTTAATGGAACTAAACCACATTTGTGTTATATGGAGTAGAAAACCTCGAAAACATCTTACGGTCAGCCCGGAAGCAAGGGTACAACATTGGCCCATTGTAGGAAGTCGTTAGTTTATAAAAATGAAGGGAAATTTAGTATCTTTCATAACCATTGCTTATTACCTTCCTCCCCTTTCGTCAGAAAAAATAAGCTTTTCATTCCTCAATTCTCAGCTTTCTATCGAGGACAATTTTGCAAGCAAGTCTTTCATATTTACTTGTTGATTCATTAATATTTTAAACTAGTTAAGAAACAAAGTATTAAATGTTTGACTTAAATTTTACAATGAGTTGTAATATCCATATTAAGAATTTTAAGGAAAATTAGAAGTTAACATTCAATCTTTCTTTAAAAAAAAATATTATTCTAAGTGTAAAATAGACTATATTTAATGGGACAAAAAAGTTGTTCACTCTTTTGATAATTTTTTAATTGGAACATAAAGGGTTAAGTGCAGTATAAGTTCGATTTAACAAGTTCGGCATGTTATAAGAAATTCATTATTAAGACAAGTTGCTGAAAAAATTCTGTCATTGAAGATTCCAAAAATATTTAGATTGCAAGATAGAGCAAATTGAAGAAACAAATTTCTTACTTTTAACAAGTCTTATATAACAAGCCAAATATCCAACTCTGTTGGGCTGAATTTCAATTTAGAGAATTTATGACTTTTTCACCATGAAAATTAAATTTTTCTTCCAAATGATAGCTCACTAAATTTAGAATCGTAAGATTGAAATCATGTCGTTACGATGACAATATCATTTTTTTTCGATAGTTCACCAGCCAAAAAAATTTTACGACCAGAAAAGGTTAGGTCATTGTAATAATACGTTAGCTCAAGGAAAATCATCGTTAATCATCGTAATTAAGGAAAATCGCCTTCCAACTTAAAAACAAAAGGTGCTGCCAAATCAAGTATTATTAGCTTACTTTTGACCTAGAAATGACAAGATTAAATTTTTCCACTAAACATTAACTGAGTTTAATTCATAATTACTTCAACAAAAGGTTTTGTTAACTCAAATACCAAAATAAGTTAAGGCCAGAATAAATGTTTGAGAAATTACAAGTTTGATATTTGCTTTCAAAAGTTAACTTATTGTAAGAAAACTAGGGTGACCACTCAAATCAGATTTCAAATTTTCCTGATTTTTCCAGGTTTTCCAGTAAAAATCTTAAAATTTCCAGGTCAGCGTGTTTTTTTTTCTTCTTAAAATATAGGTAGGTACAAGAAAAGCGTCAATATTATTTAAAATTCTATTTTTAATATATCATATTAAATAGATGTGGAGAATAATATGTTTAACTAGGAGAATATATTTTTAATGAATAAAAAATGTTTTTAAGTGTTAAATAGTTTTTGTGCAAAATGTTCCGAATAGAAAAAAAATACTGAGTTACCCAAAAAACCCTTGGATAAGTACTGTTTAATATATTTTAATTAAGCAAAGGAAAATAACTCCTGGTGATTACACATCAGTAAATTTTTACATTTACTTACATTTTAATATAGAGCTATTTTATAATGTATTTTATCCAAACAGTGCTCTTTATAAAATTCATTGATATTTTTTTTAAACCAATATCTTAAGTAAAATGTTTAAATAATGTTGTTTGCTTTGAATTAGCCCTATTATTTTTAGAGATATTCAGTAATCGCAGATGCAAAGTTGTCAAATTTCTTGTAGCATATTCTATAGAAAAACACTAGATAAAATTCTTTAATTTTTTTTTCTTATTAGAAATTAGAATATTTAAAAATTCTAATCTAACCCCTCGTTTTTTTTGTTTAGATTATATAATTGTTTTTCTTCTTACAAATGGGCAATTCCATGGTGTCAGACATGAAAAATTAACATGAATTTCTTAGAAAAACTATCTTATGAAACATAAGTTATAATCATCAAATTTTTAGATTAAATATTATTACTTCATAACCAATTGAAAAACAATTTATTTTAAACAAACTGATTACAATAAGTTCAAACTAAATGGATTTAATTGTGAGTGTCGGATGTAAATCGCACAAAAGCAAAAAGCAATTACTCATTTAATTGATAGATAATTGTCTGAACTCTGTCAATTTGTTTATAATTTAAATGTAAACATGACTGAATTTTGAAGCTGACACTTCAATAAAAAATTCTATGCAGTTCTTAACTTGTAATATATGATATATAATTAAGGTGAAATATTCTGCTTCAGTGTCAGACATAAAGTTTTCCAGCTGGATATAAATTTTAGTAAATGATATTATAATGATTGAAAATCATTTAATCTTAATACTATAAACATTATATTTCAATTAAATATCTACTTTAAATTTAAAATGTCTAATATTTTCTGTTGCAATGAATGGATCAATGGGTTTTATAATATTTTCCATCTTGTAAAAACTAGTTGAAAAATCAAATATTTTAATTTCAACTGTGCTACATATATTAACAACCATGTAAATAAAATCATATACATATAAGCAACATTTCCTAAATGGAATAGTTTTAAAAATCTTGGAATAAAAAAAGCAGTTGCTATTTTTTTTCAGTAATATGGAAAAGAATACCGAAAAGTTTCATTATTTTAATATAAAATTTAAAAAAAAAATCTACTGAAAAAAATTGTCACTGTACATTAAAAGGAAAAAAAAAACAATTTTTTACTGTATTATTAGCGTATAACAATTTTTTCTGGGAAAAAAGACTGCATAGGAAAAATGATAATTTAATAGTTTTATTTATTGCCAGCATAAAATTAAATAATAATTTTGTACAGCTCTTACAATCTATTCTATTTCATGTTTCGAAGCATACAATATCAACTAATATTACTTTTACTTGTATTTGGTGGCATAGCTTGAACAAGAGTATAAGTCTCCGGTTGTAGTACAAGAGATGCACCCAACTTATGAAGAAAAAATTTATATCAATTCTAGAACAAATTTTAATCTCTTTTTAATATCCCTTCTCTAGTTTCATTTGTTAATTACAGTCCCAATAACTGCTAACAATTTTATCACATTTACCTAAAAAATGAATAGGATGTGTGTTATTGTTGTAATTTGCTAAGCAAGTAGGTTTATTATTTCTTTCAAAAAAGAATTTTTTCCTATACTCAAAATAAATAAATAAATAAAATAAAAAATAAATAAAAAAAAAGTAAATAACTACATAATGTTCTGAAATTTTTTTCTGTAAATACATACATTTTTCAGGTATTAAGCAAAATGATTGATATAAAATGTTCTGAATAAAGATAAATTGCTTCTCAAAAAATTAAAACTGAGTTAAGTAGCTCANAATAAATAAATAAATAAAAAAAAAAATAAATAAAAAAAAGTAAATAACTACATAATGTGCTGAAATTTTTTTCTGTAAATACATTAATTTTTTAGGTATTAAGCAAAATGACTGATATAAAATGTTCTGAATAAAGATAAATTGCTTCTCAAAAAATTAAAACTGAGTTAATTAGCTCAAATAAAAAAATGAAAATAAAAAAATATATAGAAACTTCATGGATCAATTTTAAGTTATAATATAAATAACTTAAAGTACAGCACAGTTAAACAAATTTTATTAGGTTACAGAAGAGAAATATGTTATTGTAAATTAACCTAAAGGAATATTTAAGATGGTTTCTATTCAGATTTCACTTAATTTTATAAAGAAAAAGCAAAATAAGAGATTGAAATAAATAAAAACAAATGTAATAAAAAAGAAAGGCAGTGGTGTCCGACGTAAATATAATTAATTATTAATTTACAATAAAAATATTTATTATTATCAAAATCTTGCTTTTTAAACAGAAAAATAATTTAATTATGTTAAATCAAGTGACTCAATACAATTAATTATGTATTTTGGTGTCGCATGTAAATTTTACGCAGGAATTCTTTTAAAAATCAAAATGTGAAAGGTTTATACGCATTTGTGCAAGATAACCTGTTTTGTTACAGTTCACTTTGATTATTATTTTTCCATTTTCTATTATTTGCATAAATTAAAAATAAACAAACAAACAAACTGTACTTTGTAAGAGATTCACTTAGCATGGTTAAAAATTTGAAATGATGTAACCTTTCATTTAACAGCCTATAACTTATTGAAAACTGATATTTACAAATCATTATTTTGAAATTCTAAGTTTTTCACCTTGGAAATGATTCCTTGTTTACTTAATATTAAATTTAAAATTTTGGTCATCCCAAATTGAAACCTGTACCAGTACAGTGCAGAACAAAAAAAAACAAAGTTTCGTTTCCCTTCTTCCTAATGAACAAATATAATTATTTTTTTTATATTCTAAGTTTATACATCATTTAACATGTTTGCCATGCATTCCTTCGTTTTTAGGGTAAAAGGAGAAACAGTTTCGGAAGTATTTCTGGAATGTAAGCAAAACATTTACAAACTTTTGACATTGTGATTAATACACAATTTGAATTTTAAATTAGAAATTAA